CCCACCTGGGCATGAGCCCTTGACTGGAATTGAATCTGGGACCCTTCAGTCTGCAGGCCGATGCTCTATCCACTGAGCAACACCGGCCAGGCTAGGCCTCTGCCCTGAGGGTGGTGTAGCCATGGCAGGTGCAGGGCCGAGGAGAGAGGTGATCTGACGCGGGTTTACCAGGCTCGCTCTGAGTGCCGAGTGGAGAACAGACTGTGGGGTGAGGGCCGGTGGGTTACGGTGGAGCCCAGCACGGAGGCTGCTTTCATATCCTGGGTGAGAGGCAGTAATGGGTGGGACACACGTCGGCTGTGTGGACGCGATTGGGCCAGATTCTTTGATGTGAGAGAGAGAGCGCGTGAGCACTAACCCCAGGTTTGGGGCCTTACCCGCTGTGAGGGTAGGTGCTCCCCCAGTGGTGAAGGGCAGGTCCGTGGTAGAAGTAACTCCCTGTGGATAGCAGCTCACCCGTGAGCACATGAAGGGTCTGAGATCTCCCAGACAACAAGGCTCCTGGACCCGGATGGGGTGCTGGGGAGGGTTCAGGGTGGAGGAGGCAGTGGCAGTGCAGTCAGGGAGCAGGAAGGGGCTGGTGAGGCCGACGCCTGGGTGAGGGGCCAGGTGTCAGTCGCCCTAAGAGGATGGTGTGCACGCGGAAAGGCGTGTGCACTGGTGGCCCTGGGGCCTGGTACACACAGTCCTAGCGGCCTTGGGAGAACTGGCTGCCGTGGTGGGTGTGAGCTGTGGTGGGTGTGGGCAGGGAGGTGTAGGGGCGCTTAGGAGGTGCCTTCCTGCCCACCTCGCTGTGGGGGGGCACAGTGACAAAGGGGCAGGCGACAGCAGGCCCTGTGGCGCCCAGTCCTGGTACTTCCTCTGGGCTGAGGATTAGGAAGGAATGGGGGGCCTGAGGGAGTGTCCCTGGGGGAGGGGCTGCCCATGGGCCCGCTCTCCCCACTGGCAGGCGCAGGTGAGCGTGGAGGACGTGTTCGTGTACTTCTCCCGGGAGGAGTGGGGGCTCCTGGACGAGGCTCAGAGGCGCCTGTACCGCGACGTGATGCTGGAGAACTTCGCTCTTCTGGCCTCGCTGGGTGAGCCCCTCGTGCCCACCCCAGGGCCCTGGACTGGGCTCTGCCCCTCCTGTTTTCCAGGGGGATCCCGGCCCCTCCTGTGTCACAGCCATGGGTACTCCCTGCCTCCCCCGTTCCCTGGAGTCGGTGCCGGGGGTGCCCGGTATGAGCTGTGTGCACGGCCACCTCGGACGCTTGAGCAGCCCCAACACCTGCCGCCCTGAAGGATGGCGTATGAGGGAGGGGTCTCACAGGCACGCAGTAGGTCAGATGCCTCTTGTCCTTGCCCTGACTGGGTGCCTTTGTCCCAAACCAGGGCACCCTGTGCCCCAGGCTCTCCCCCACTTCTTGTAGCTGACATTCCTGGTGGAGCCTGTGACAGAAAATGCAGGCACCAGTCTGGTTGGTCCCTGCTTGCTGGGGCCATTGGGCTATTCCCTGTGAGACTCCACTTTGAGATTATTTTTATTTATATTTTTTTATTTTTTTTTT